CCCCCCCCCGCTGCTATGGACGCGAGAGAGCTCGTGCACAAAACAATGGCCATGGCTCCTTTCATCGAAATGCATTCTAGACGCACCACACACGCACGCACAAGCGCGCATTTGTAAAACCGTCTGCTGTCTTAAATAAACAAATAAAAGGAAGGGGAAAATGGTTGTGTGTGGAAATTTAATCGACCATTTTCCAAATACCCAAATGGAAGCAACGGTAGCTGAAGACGTCGAAACAAGCTTCAATATATATAATCATGATTTCGTTGTTAGGAAGAAGTTGGTGTGTTCTATCTGCAAATCGGAGTATTTAAATCCCCCCCCCCCTCCCCTCCCACCCCCAAATTATGAAATTGCGCAACTCTCAAATACGCGTGATAGTGAAATATATATACAAAAGCGAGTAAAAAAGCTTCATTCCAATACAAACCGAGCCCAACTATTCCAGGTATCCCGAGGCATTAATTGAAGCTGGAATTGTAGGGAGAGAGAGAGAGAGAGAGAGAGACAAGAAAGTTGTCCACAGTACTAAAATCTCCTAATCCCTCCCCCCACCCCTATTCAATAAGGAGTAAATGGTGAACAATGCCTCTCCAATTACTTCCAAACACCCTTGGACATTAACGCATCTTTATTGAATTGGCCAGGCAACTTCAGTCCTCCTACATTTTAGGCAAAGTGGTCTGTAAAGTTTGGGGGAAAGTGTTACTAACAGTCCCTTTAAAGACCGATTAAATAATATTTTTGAAAAATGCATCCAGCCGTTCTCACAGCCGACGTGATGAGTTTGGGTGGTGGTGACAGGCGAAGGCGGATATAGACGCGGCTTTGTTACGAGACTCTGTACCAATGGAGCATATTTTGAAAGAGGACCGCGTTGGGTCCTGCGGGGCGCCAAAGGGTTGATCATAGATGGGAGTGATGAGTGCTTATTTCATCATGTGAAGTCAATTGTGTCATTGTGGTCATTGAGGTGAATTAAACTTCTCTTTTAGCCATTCAATTACCCGTTTCTCACGAATTCTCCAGTGACTTCTCTATGCAATGACTGATCACTTTTTTCCGGGCCTTTCATCAATGCAATTAAAAAGAAACACCTCTCGCTGTACGAACTAAATGCAATTGGACTGGCAAATAAATTAATTTACGGTAAAAAAATGAGACTAGCGTAATTCACTAATTTTCAATTAAACACGCGGTGTGTTTTGTTTAAAATGTCACAATTGTGAAGATGCCATCACAGCAGAATGCACAAAATAATAATTTGCGAGAATAAAAATAGTGTTCAACACGATGGTGGCGAAAAGTGGCGATGACCTGAATTAAGCTGACACACAGAGAGGTGCGAGGGAGGGGGGAGAGAGAGGGAGGGAGGGAGATTGCAATGAAAAGTCGTTGGCGAAGATGCTAAATATTCCCGATTTGGTAATAATTCCCAGTCCCAATAGTGTGAAATCTACAAGCAGTAAATACTTCCATCCCATGAGAAATAGTTGGGATCGCACAACCCGTCATAATGATACCTCGATGAGAAAATGTCGCGATCCAGGCCCAAAAATGCCACCTTCTTCCCCCCCCCCTCCCCCCCAACTTTCCAGTTTACAACAACAAAAAATCCATCACTCAATAGAGAAAGCGATGCATTTACACACAAATTTTTTTCATTTCTGCCACAATTTCACCACCATTTCCCATTATGTAAATATTTAACTGAAAATTGTGCAATTTCGGTGAAAAAGCTCGATTTAACCCTTACTTTTTCATCATTTCTTTTGGAGATAAAAGTAAGCAAATATACGCAATTTAGTGGAAGTAATGCTTTTTTCTAAAACAGACAACAATTTAATTTGGACAAAATTTAACTAGTTTTCCTAAAAGGGCCGTAAAATATAAGGGATTAAATAAATTCCTCACTCGAACCAACTAAATTCGAACTCCTATTGGCTGACTTCGAGGTCATTGTGTACTGGTTGGACATGTAAAATTACAGGGTGAAAGAAAATGATCAAGTTGATAGGTTGATGAGTTGAGGCAAATTGATTAAGTCAAACGAAATGATAATTAAATTTCCTACGCTATTTTGAGATGTAAAAACCTAAGGCGATAATCAATACAATGGGAAATAATGCTACACAACAAACAGACTGTAAAACTTTGCAACAATATCGGGACTGGGGTCGTTTAAATAACCGGAAATCACCAGAATGAATTTGAACAAATTCACTAAAGCTAGGTCAAGGTGATTCGCAATTTGATTCCGCTCAAAATATCGAAAAATGAAGTTTTGTTTACAGGAATGACGACTTAAATGGTAAATCGAAGTAACTTAATGTAGGCAGGTGTTCGTTTGCTTGGGAGATTAAAGGTAGAACACACTTTATAGGGAAGCTAAGAAAATAATGATAATCCACCACTGGGTTTACAGGCCTGTCAGGACATATGCAAGACACTCTTAAGAAATTGAAATTCCCTTGATTGTCCCCACAGTCTTGTAGCCACCCATTATACACTCAGTTCCTCTACCTTTCGTAAGTACTTCTTCAATTGAAATAGACCATAGTTCCACCCAATGCTACTTATTAAGAAGTGTCTCCTTTTTTCCCAATTTTCAACTCCACATCTTTGATAGTTTCAACTTTCACCAACTGCTTAACCCCCTGACGATTAAACATTTCGGGTAAGACACGAGACCGGACACCGCTCCCGTTTCCGCTTGATTTCAAGAGAGAGAGGTCAAGATAAACACACTTCCAGAGAGAGAGAGAGAGAGAGAGAGAGAGAGGGAGGGAGAGGTAGAGAGAGACAACCTTGGCCTAATCACCCCCTCGCCATGAGGTCACTCGCAAACATAATCACGGTGTAATCATGGTCTTGGCCAAAATGTCGTCGACCTCCGCGTAGGCCGTCTTTAATCAAAGGCTAGAATTTAGCGTGTAGCAGCTTATATAGGTAGAAATTATATGGAATTAGAACCTAATCACAGAAATGGCAATTCATTTTGCTTAAAAGAAAACGATACTTCCCCCCATTCAATGCGCTTTCAGATGCCTTATTAGCAGAAAAATTTAATCAGATGATTTTCATTAGATTCTTCGATTTCTATCCCAAAACTGGACGAGAATTCGACGGTGAGAGGAGTTTAATTGATAAGGAAAATAGACTTATCCACTTTTTTTGGGAGGGCCACATAATCAGAATGGTAAAATTGCAGGATGTAAGCCCAAAAAAGCATACCAGCTAGAATAAGTTATGAAATACATGCTGGACACACGTTTCCTAAAAAAAACACACAGGCCAAGCACCAACATTGCTAATCTTCATTTTTCCCCCTAATTTCTTTGCAAAGGGGAAAGTGTTGCCCCCTCTTTTGAAAGATGAAGAGATCGAGCTAGTTCCATGGGAGATAAAAGTCTTACTATTTTTGGAGTTTCTTCAAATTACGCCACAGTTTGCAAATGCAGGCATTTTCACTTTTACTCAAAGCCGAAAAGCGGCCAATAAGACCACTGGAATATAATCACTAAACAAGACCAAAAAAGCTAATTTTAATACGCCCAGATTCCTTCAGAGCTCGGATACTTCCCTCCTTAACCAGGATGAACGTGATTAGTCAGCCTGTCCGCATGACGACATTTCCCTTCATTTTGACAGGGAATGCCAGTCTGAGAGACCGCGTGGGCTTTAATGCCATTACATGGCAACCGACCGAATTATATGACATGTCTGAGCGGGTAGTTGCGGGGCAAGACATTATTATGACCAGTAAAAAATGGAGATGCGAGAGAGGTGGGGGGGGGGGGGACACAGAGAAGGCGGGACACTGACCTGCAAGGCAGAATCCGAATATTATCGAAGGGCCGATAGGGTTCAATACAAATGGCACAGTGTTCCCCGTTAACTCCGATTTCCTAGAGAAGTAAAGAGTTAGATGGATAAATAAATAAAAAGGCTGATTTCTAACTAGAAACAAAGTCATTAGCTGAAAAAAAACTTTATTAAAGTTTTCGTAGAAGGTCTGCGATCAGATAAAAAAATTCCGATCACAGCACATCTCGGGGAATATTAGCGGTTGCCTAGAATGTGAACTCAATCAAATGATTTGCCTTAAGAAGCCGTCTCGATCAAACCCAATCACCAACCCACTTGTTGAGTCGACTCCCAAACTAGGAAAGAGGTGGGGGCATTTTTTGCACCTCTCACCTCCTCTTTCGAGTAATTTGAATGCTCGCTATTAGAGCGAGAAGAGAGTGTCTTCACCAAACACACAAGGGGGTTGGGAGAGGGGAAACAACAATAGACACGGAGATAAGAGGAATTTCAACAGATTTGTGCCTGCATCCCCCTCAACCACCTTCAAGCCTACATTTGCAAGCATAATTTATTAGGTCACTAATCAGATCTACGTAGATGTGGGCGTTAAGGAAACCACACCCGATTGTAGGATTTGGAGGTAAGAGCTTTGAAAATAAGGGAAGACTAGCACCTGAGCAAGGAAACATGGACAACTTTCGATTCCACTCATTCTCTCTCGAAGATGAAATTCCTTATCTTGCAATTATACATTCTCTTTGTGATAGTAAAAAAATATTGTCATTTATAATGCTTCTAAACCAGTCCTGACAAGTATACAAAAGCATTCATTCCCTCACTGACTACTTACACTGGCTCATCCGAAAGTAAGAGACATGCTTCCCCTCGTCGTCTAGTGCATACAATTTCCATCAAATAACCATGCTTACCGCTAATTAGGGAGGTATTGAGAGATGGAAGCTATTAGTCAAGGTGATTTCCTATTATATAAGTTAATTGACGTTTACAGTTTCGGAGTACAATCGATTATCTAATTAGATTACGTAGACAGACAACTGCTCAAGATGAGTATACGAATGCACTTCAGAATGCCTCAATTCAAGTTGATCGATAAAATCGAGGGACTCAGGAAATGGGCACCAGTTGACATATACATTTGCCGCGCTAAAAGTCATGGATTCGATTCGCACATGCGTAAATCCAGCGCTAGTTGAATGACTAACTGCAATTCTTAAAACTTTGACTAACATCTAGGCTCCCTCACCGAAGTCTCTAGCCAAGATGCAGTTGAGAATAGCCTTTCCCAATGCATTTTGTATTCACTATTTTTGTAACGTAGATCTACAATGTCTGATCGGATTTTATTGGTTGCTCATGAATGGACAAGGGCATAAATTTTTAAACTTACTTACACAGTACCTTAATTACCCCCCAACATTCATCGTAATCCGGGATCCAAATTTCATTTCTTTCAGATCACCAAATACTCTTTCCACTTCTTTACCTACATTTCTTCAACGCACTTGTAGTCCATTTCAATTCTTGGCCAAGCCATGAATCATTAGGATAATAAATCTGCTTTTTTAAAAAGATATCTCTATGCCTAAATTGAAAAGACTCCTAACGTATTTATAATAAGTGCAATAGTGCAACTTTTGTCGACCAGGCTGACAAAAAATTTTATTTCTGAGTTTTTTTCTTTCAAAACACCTTTCGCGACACTACTCGGTTTACTTTTTCGTCTTGGGTTGTGCGATAGACTTACCTCCATGTGGTGCATCCTGGGCAACGTATACTCATACGGCAAAACAAGTCTATGAAACCGGCAGTTGGCTTCTGACTTCCAACTACAATCACCCCACTGTATGCCATATTCCACCACTTTCACAGTACTCACCTCACCTTTTTTCTACCTTTGTGTCTGTCTCTTTTGCATCTTTGAAGCACTCTTCTGTTCCCAACCCCCCTCTCGACTTTTTTTCAATATGATGTACCTTCCCCTCTGTGAAGCCTGGAGTCAACTAAAGGGCTAATGATAGCCATCAAAACGCCTGGCATTTGATATAAAATAAATAAATATAAATACGTTTTCGTCTTGTTATGGGGTGTAGATCCTCTGGTAAGTTAGAAGTTATCTCGATACCAGAGAGGAGGTCAATATATCGCTAGATGGATGCATTAATTGAAGATGTTTTGACTGCTACGATAGACGATGTTGTGAGTCTCCATTTCCATACGCACACACACACACACACACACACACACACACAACGATGAATCATACCCACCCCGCGCCACTACAGAAAACGTACAAAGACGCACATTGTTATAGTGCAAGAGAGACAAAATGAATAGCAAAGTGAGTCAGTAGCTCCACCTGTGCCTGTGTTGTTAGATGTTTTGACACAAAGACGTCACCCCCACCCCCCCACCCTCCACCCAACCCGCATAGTGGC